AAATTACATATCCTCCATTATCTGAGGTTTTAAAATAAATATTGTGCCTAAAAACTAATCAATTTGGATCACATGCCTTCTCAAACTATACATTCCTTCTTGGAGACTGCATACGTTCCCCCAGATGAAAGTTACAGCTGCAGTTATACTAAATTGCCTGTCCTCTATATGCACATGGATTTTTTTTTTTTGCCTCTTCTGTTTTTATTCATGCTATTGCCTTGGTTTGGAATACTCTTCCCACTGTTCTCTGCCTGACTGGCTAATTAATTTTCATCCTTCAGCTTAAACACCACCCCTGACAGGAAGCCTTGTCTGAACTCCCAGCTTCCCTGGGACAGATTCCCTGACCAGCATCCTGTGCTTATCTCTATCATCACATTGTACCATACGGTGCTCTTCTCCACTCAGCTTACTGGAGACAAGTGCCATTTCAGTCAACTGGGTGTGAATGGGGTCCTGATGGAAAGGGAGGAGCCTGTGTACTTGAGGCAGGGAACACAATACAGGCAAGCAGAAGTGTGTGTGATGTGTACTCAGGACAGGTCAGGGCTAGAGGATTCAGTATGGGAATTCACAGCATCCAGAAAGTTTAGGAGTGACCATGCATTACAGGGCTCCATAGGTGAGATCATTCCATCTGATATCAAGACAAGCAATCTCCCCCAAATTACTTGGTTAATCATTGAGAAGGCAGGCTCTTAGTGACAAGTCCTGTGCACTTTACCACTCCATATTGGGAAGAGAGAAGACTGAAGTTGGGTGTTCTTGTTCTCCTTCCAATTTTTAGACAGAAGCCTCTCATCTGCTGGTACCTCCTGCCTAGATGAGGAGTAAGGTGACCAAGACTCTAGCTTATCCTCTAACCTGAGGCTGGTGACAATGCTTTGGCCCCTTACTGGAAAGGGTGGGGTGGGAGTTGGTGACAGAGAGAACCCAGCCCACCATTCCTGCAAGGGCTCTAAAAGCCCTCCTCTCTTCCCTGTTGCCTCTCTACTGGGAGACACAGTTCCCCCATGCACAGACAAGAACCTTCTCTATCCAAATCCTGCCCAATACCAAGATTCATATTGGGAGAGCTGGAGGAGGTCATTTAGCCAGTAGGTGCCAAACCCAGCCAGCCTCACCCCAGAGCCTACAGAAGCAAAATCTCCAGGATGAAGAAATCCTGATTGGGTTCAAACTTCTTTTACAGTGACCCTCAGACAGTAAGCAGCCTGCTGTCGGTCATAGAGTCCAGGTGGTGGTAAATTTGGAACTGAGGCTTCTGACATCACCCCAAGGGCTCTCCTCAGGACACAACTCTCAATGCTACGTCTTGCACACAAGTGCTCAATAAACTTCTGTTGGGTCATTGAGCTGCTGAAATTTTTCTAACATGATGAGAGGAAAGAACATGAATTTTGGCATCAGGGAGATCCTGTTGTGGAAGGCCAGTGGCAAGCTTCAGTCTCCTTCACTGTAAAATAGGGCTAGTAACTATCTCCTGGGATTGTCAGTGAGAATTAAATGACATATCCTAGGTAAAATCCCTAGCCCAACGCCTGGCACAGAAGAGGCACTTAAATGGTAGTGGTTATCAGTGAGAGGTGCTAGAACAGAGTAATAAGAACACAGAATGTGGAACCAGGTTGGCTCCACAACGTACGATGTGTGATGCCGGAAGTTTCCTTTGCCTGTTTCCTCATCAGTAGCATGAAGATACTGGTGATGATGAAATGAATCAATATACATAGAACACTAAGAGGTATCTGGCACAAGGAAATGAGCATGATATGCTAGCTCTAATAATTATATCCCTTGCACTGGCCCTAAACACAGTAATCAGGTTCAGCTTGGAGAAACATGTCAGAGAGAGAGAGAGAGAGAAGAGGAAGAAAAAAATAAAACTTCACATTCACAGAAAGAGGATACAGGTATAGCCAGTAAAAACTGCCCATGGAAGCCATGGAAAGCCTTCCCAACAAACTTGTCAGGCCCCTTTGACTTGTTGCACCCCTTTCTTTTCTGCTCACTATACTTTTGACTGTTTTTGGTGTGTGAACTGTGTCTCTTGTGAGGGCAGGGATCCTGTCCCCTCCCCACCTCAGGCATAAGGCTGTGCACTAGGGAAGAGGTGAGTTGATGAGAGAGACAGAATGTAAAGAGAAGGCAGTACTCCTGGACCCCAACACCCCACCACTCCCAACACCACCAAAAAAAAAAAGAATGCTGAGCAAAGCAATTGCCAAGATATATCACTTTTATCTCTATAGGAAAGGGAGGATCTAAAAAAAATATATAAATTACATTAGTAACACAACATAAGAAAAAAACAGGGGAAAAAAAAACAACAGAGAAGTCTGTATGATGCTATTCTAACCTGTTTATAAAAAGGCCCTGCATCAGAAATTCACAATCCTACCCACTTCTAAAAATATATTTAGACATGTACAGAAGCGGTGGGCTTGTTTTTAAATTGCTTTTTTTGTAAAAATATATTAAAGGTGAATAGAAATCCTCTCTCCCTGCCCCCTATCCAAGCCCCAGCTCTGTGCTGGGGATTGGAGACCAGAGGTAACTCTCTCATCATGTTCTAAACCTTGGTTACAACCACTCCCAACCCCTCCCCAACTCACTTCACTTAGAACCTGAAACATTAAAAAAAAAAAAAAAAAAACACACTAGCCTCTTTGGAAAAGCGTAAATCTGAGGGTAAACTTGCTTTTCATTTAAAACACAAAACAACAAACAGCCAGCTCTGAGAGCCCAACTAAATTAAACAGAAACCCAGTCAAATGGAGGTTGGGTTTCAGCTCCACAAAACTTTAAACAAAGAAACAGAAGGGAAAG